CACAGAAGACAGGTAGGACTTAACTTCTGTAGTTAATCCATCCCTTAATCTAGAGTAGGTAGGACTTAGCATTTTTTTGAGCTAATTCCCCTAGTATGACACCGTCCCATACCGGTGCATACAAACCATCCATCCAGTATTGATAATATATATATGATAGCATAACATATCAATATCAACATATCTAATCATAAGCATAACAAGAATGTTTAATTAGCATGCTTGTTCCATACATCTAGTAACTGATTCTCTGACAAATTTTTAAATGCAGAGAAGAAATATAACCATCCTGTAAATCACAATAAGCATAATAATAATAACAATAGTATATACATGCTTACTTGTAATTATTCCACAACATCCCACAAGTTGACATAAATAAATTCTTGGTAACATCAACTGGTTTCATATTAAGTATTAACTGAATTTATATTAGTTAATAGGCTTAATCCCCATACCACTGATATATGATTTACATATCAAACTCCTAATTCAGTTGCTCATTTAAAATTAATCAACTTGAATCATCTACAAAATTTCAACCATGTAAACTTCCTTAAAAGTGTCTTACTGTCACTTATGAATATATATGATCATTCTGTAATCTAATAAACTTAACTTAAATTATAGAAAGATGATTTAACAATATTACCATTCCCAAATAAATTGCAACTCATAGGGTTATGCACTTAAAATCCTCTGCTTCCAAGAATAGTCCACAAGTTCACCTGAAACTATAACGGTTTAAATCTACCGATTTCTTTGTAATTTATTATGTATCATCACACCTTTAGAATTTCTAATAGGACTTAGATGCTACTGAAACATCCCTTCATAGCTCCTAATAACATTTGAAAACACCAAATTCTGAAACCCGTAGTCAAAACCATCACTGAAAAGGCGAAGAACTGAAACCTGTTGAAGGAGCCGGCTCCACTACCAAGTAGAGCCGGCTCTACTACAAAGTAGAGCCTACTCCACTTTTTAATTGAGCCTGCTCTACTTGAAATAGAGCAGGCTCCTTCCCCTGTGCGTCGTTTTTCCAATCCCGGCGGTGTCCGGCTGTGTTGATCCTCCAAACCAAATTTCTTGCTGATTAAAATTAAGTCCTTGGGTGTTCAAAAGTTAATTAACTTCCTTGATTAATAATCACATTCAGTGGGAACAAGAATTAAACAGAATAATTTAAAAACGCTTAACATGTACCTAAAAGAAAACATACTGTTCAACTTCTTCTCCAACTCCGGCAACTTTGTTCCTCCAACCCACGTTTCCTATGGATTAAAACTAAGTCCCAAAGGGTTCTAAAGTTGTTTAAGTTCATTACTTGTTAATCAAATTCAATTAAAACAAGAACAAACACAAACAGTTTCATCACGAACGGAAAATACATACAAGAACCCATACTGTTTGAAACAAATAATTACAACCAAATTAATTTAGCTTTATTTCTTCCTGGAACTGAATTAGAGATGCAAAGAACACAGGCCAAAGAGATAGAGTTAGTAATAAAACTTGCCTGTGAGATTCGGTTCAAAAATCTCAACGTCTTTCTTCTAAGTTTTCCAGCGAACTACCTTCTCCTAACTCCCCTGATACTTCTGCCTCCAATACGTGTGGTTAGGGTTCTAAACCCTTGGCAGTCTTATACGGATATATATATAGGCCAACTAAACCTAGGTGCAATTAAACCCTAATCCTATTACTAGACAGAAAAAAAATAAGTCGGCTAAATACGTGGCTTCCCTAAACTGATAAAACCCTAATTTAATAAATAAAACATTTAACTTAATTCAAATAAATACTAACTAACATAAACAACCAATTTAAAATAAAACAATTTAAAATAAAACAAATAATCAATTTAAGCAATTAAAACAAAACAAAAATTTAACTAAATAACAATTTAAATAAATAAATAAACACAATAACTACAAATAATCCAACTAAATAAACTAAAAACACAATTAAACATTTAAATAAATTCCAGAACTATCCTTTTAAAATTAGGGGTATTACAGCAAGGCCATGACAATAACCATATATATGGGAGAACTTGTTCTTTCTGACTATGGGGACTATGGGGCATCCTACGACTTTTGAATGCAAATTCAATTCGGCATTAACATCCCGCAAGAGAGAGAACTTTTCCCTTTTACTCTCTTTTTGAAATGAATGGACGAGCATAAACCCAACATCATTAGTGAAGCGAATTTCGCGATTGGGGTAGAGGGACTCAAATGACTCTCCATTGATCCAAGTCCGCCGTAGCTTACAAACTCCCATGCATTTAAGGCCAAATTAAACGAATTTTACAATTAAGCCCGAGCCCGGGCTCGGGCCTGGGTAGGGCGTGTGTATGGTAAATGGTTTGGACCCACACTTGCCTAAGTTTTCCCCCTTTTAAAAACTTGGGTCCCTTTGGGCCCAAACCTAAATCACAAACTTGGCTTATTTTAACTCCAATTGGTTTCATAATATTTTCAATGTGGGACAAGCACTTCCCACATTTTGTATACCCATTTAAGCTTATCATAATGTGAGAAGTGCTTGTCCCACATTGAAATTATGATGAAACCAATTGGAGTTTAAATAAACCAAGTTTGGGGTTTAGGTTTTGGCCCAAGGGCACCTAAGTTTTTAAGAGAGGGAGGTCCTAGACAAGCTTGGGTTCAAACTATTTACCATACACGCGCCCCTCCCGAGCCCAAGCTTAATTGTAAAATTCGTTTAATTTTTTATTAAACGGAATTTTGAATTGGGCCTGTATTTGGATTTAATTTAATTTTTGGTCTAGACTTATTTAAATTGGTTTTCATTAAAGGGTGTGACTAGTCCAAATCAGTGCATCAAAGGGTTGCACCTATTTTGAACCAGTGCCTATAAATACTCCCTTTAGGATCATTTGCAATAATGTATATATAATAATTATATATATATTCACACTATATTTTTTTACATAATATTTAAATAGTAATACTCTAGTGTATGATACAATGATATTGGACAACAACTACTACATCACACATCTGGTTAATCCACGTATCTTTTTTAATGGAGTATATATGCACTTGTGGACCAATTTGCCTAAATAAGGAGGGCACAAACATGAGAGTGACGACCCTATAGTCGTTGGTAGTGGTTTGAAATCCAAGGGAAAAATTCTTGTCATAAAAGACATATGATGGGTTGTTGACGAGAGTTGTGAAGCTGAATGAAGTATTGGGTTGTAGGATTCCATAGATACAAAGTATCTTTCAGGGTATTGTTGTCTTGATCAATTAGAAGAGCAAGGCCATAACAATAACCATAGATATGAAATAACTTGTTCTCTCTGACTATGGGGCATCCTACGACTCTTGAATGCAGATTCAATTCGGCATTAGCATCCCGAAAGAGAGAGAACTCCTCCTTTCCACCTTCTATTTGAAATGAACGGACAAGCATAAACCCAACATCATTGGTGAAGCAAATTTCGCTGTTGGCGTAGAAGGACGCAAAAGACTCTCCACTAATCCAATTCCGCCATAACTTACAAACTCCCATGCATTCCAATACCGAGTGTAGTGAAAGATAAGTAAAGACATGCATCATCAAGTCATTGGACAGATGGTCGTTGATGTCACGAAAGAAATCAGACATCCTGCAATCTGAGGATGAAAAACGATTGAGGATGGAGATAGAAGGAATGAGGATGGAGAGAGAAGGATATTGAGACAAAAAACAATTAAACTAGGTACACAAAGTAAGTAGAAGTTATAGATAGCAAGCTTAGCAGCTATATATATAATACAATGATTATTGAATATATATATATATATATAGGTGGTTACAATATATAATGTATTCTTGAATATACGTTAGCAACCTGCAAGAAATACAATCATCTATTACATAATGTAAGTAATTTTAAATCAATATATGTTATTATTTCAAATTCAAATAAAGAAAGATGGTTTCTTGATGTATATATGTTGCCAGGGGTGGAGCTGGGGCAAACGAGCGCTCGAAAATAATTTATTTCCATGCTTTAACTCTACTGTTGCTAGGGTGGAGCTGGGGTAGAAAGGGTCATAGCCCTCCAAACTTTTTGGAAATTTTGTTTACTACCTCCTACATGTTAATTAATTTGTAAATTTTGCTTCTAAATCTATTAAAATTTTTAATTGGCCCCCTAATTTTTGAAACACATATATTGAGCACCCAAGTTTTTTTAAAAATTCTATTAATAGCCCCTAAATATTAATTAATTTGTAGATTTTGTCCCTAAAATTTATTAAAAATTTCAATTGGCCCCCAATCTTTTTCAAAATGCATATATTGACCCAAAATAAAGAGTTTGAAAAAAAATTGAGTTCGTGTCTCCTTGAAATTTAATTTTTTTTCAATTTGCACTTTTTAAACAATACTTTTAAAAGACCAACGACTAGTGGTTTAGCGGTATCAACCCTTCCAAAAGGGATGTTAAGGGTTCAAGTCTACCAACTAGGGAAAAAAAAAAATACTTTTAAAAGTTCAAATATTATGAAACAAAAATTTAAGCTCATTATTATTATAGTCATTTTTTTTTGGGTAAATAATTATTATAGTCATTATTGCAACACATTATTTTATTTATATATACACGTACAATATTTATAATATTAATTAAAGGGAGAAAAAAAAAGGAATAAAATAATTAATGTTCCCTCATGTTTGGTAAAAATGCATGAAGCATTTTTTGTCTAACATTTTTTAAAATGGTATTTGATTACAAGAAAAATATCTAAAAATTATATAACAATTTTTATTGGCAGGAATATTTACAAGAAAAAATATGTAGTTGTCATTGGATTATGTAACCAAAAAAAATGACTATAATAATAATAATAATGAGCTTATATTTACAATTAAAAACATGTAGTTGTCATTGGATTCTGTAAGGAAAAAAATAAAAAATAAAAAATAAAAAATAAAATAAATTGGAGTTGGGCCGTGTAGCCCTGCACGAAAGGGCAGGCCAGACAGACCGGTCCAATTGGGACTGCTTTGATCCGATTTCGCAACAACCATTCCCTTCCTCAATCAGCAAAGAGGGAAGGTAGAGAGAAAATCAGAGAATCGAGGACGATGGAGGAAGAAGAAGGAGGTGGAATAAGGCTGAGCAAGAGGTTCTCGGACAAAGACGGAGAGGTTGATTACAAGACCAAAGCCGGCACAGCTTGGTCCCACTCTTACCTCAACCAGAAGCCTTGGCACCCTCTCTCTTACCCTAACCAGCGACGCAAATGGATCGCCGAACAAACCCACGCCCAGCGCGATCGTCGTGCCCAAGAAGTCGCACGCGAGGTTCTACTTTTTGCTTTCTCGTTGGATGATTTGATTTTCTCTCCCTAATCCACTAACACAAATTCTCTCTCTCTAACTAATCATCTTTTTTTTTTTTTTTTTTCATTTCATTCTGGCTTCCTGCAGTATGCTCAGGAGCAAGAATTCTTCCGCCAGTCCGCTCTCGTCTCCAAGAAAGAGAAGGAAAAGGTAATTTCACATCCAGACATATATACTTACATACATATATATATGTTTGCATTTAAACATGTATGTATGTAGAGTCACTTACTTGCCTAGATAAGTTGATATGGACTAATTTCTTACTCTATACCTCGATGTTTTGAGACAAAGGGTGTTGTTGGCCTCACTTATACAAAAAACCAACACACACAACACGCTAGAAATGCACATGTAAATGTGAAATTTGTGTGTATATAATTTGTACTGAGTGTTTGAGCTATTGATGTGTGACTACTGGATAGATGGAGATAATGAAAGCTGTTAGCTTTATGTATGTCCGTCCACCTGGTTACAATGCTGAGAGTGCCAAAGCTGCAGAGGTTGCCGAGGAGAGGAAAAAGCATGAGGAGGACAGCCCTTCACAACACCCACCCACGGGTGGGGCTTCCAATGCAATGTACTAATGTTTACATGTGTTGGAACTGAAGCTTCTTGATTGTTGTTCCCACTTTCCACAAGTGACTAATGCAGTTTGTGTTTATCTTGAAGGTCGAAAGAACCTATGCCCATTAGAGAGCCTTCAGGTGAAGAAAGAAAGAAGCCGAGGCCAAAAGATGTTTTTGGTCGAGCGCTACCAACAGAAGAACAATTCGAAGTTCTTAAAAATGCTCCAAGGCATGTGTAGATATTGCTCATATTCATTTAATGTAAGATATTATTCATGTTGTCAAATTGGCTTTAAACATATGACTGAGCCTTGCGAGGTGGTCACAGTTCTTGGTTGACGTGATAGCCTTTGTTAGTACATCACGCCATATACCTGTTCATCAGTAATTGTTGCGCAATAAAGGCATTAGAAGAGATACATTGATAATCTAGAAGACACAATTAGACATCAGGCTATTTAAAATAACAGCATACGGATAGCTTAGATCAATTTGTCTCTTTTTCCTTTTTTTACAATACCATTTTAAAATTTATGATTTATATCTTTATCATCTGTTAGTTTTTGGAATCAGGATTGCAACTTATTTTGAGTTATTGTTATTTATTGGCTAGGGCTGTGAAGTTTTTAGAAACTAGCTTACACAGTGTCTTTTTTACCCTCACATTTAAAAAAAAAAAAAAAAAAACTTCTGGTAAAAAAAGAAAATTAGGATGTTCTCTTCTTCTTTTCTTTTCTTTTTTCATGAATACGCTAAAAATCTAAATTCCTGGATATATATATGTATGTATGAACATACATTTTAAATTTCTTGGCAAACAAATAGAGCCTCATGAAACAATCATTATGACATGTCAGGTATTAACTGAAATCTCTATCTGGTGTTTCTTCCTAGATATGGTAACTTGTAATTATATTGCCATTACAATTATTCCTATAGCTGTTTTTATAATACTTTTTATGTGGTAGTAAATGCTTATAAGCGTCTAGTTCTGGTAATGATGTTATTTTTCAGGCTAGAGACTGGTGTTCCAGCAAGGTCTAAACCATTTGCAGTTGAAGTGCGCAATGTAAAATGTGTAAGATGCGGAAATTTTGGCCATCAAAGTGGTGATCGTGAATGCCCATTGAAGGACGCTATAATGCCTAGTGAAGAGAGTCGATTGAAAAGAGACGACCCCTTAACCGCTATCCTTGCTCAAACAGGTTCTAGTGAGGTATTGTTATTTCTGTTGATAGCTTACTATTGAAGGAGTAAAATAGCTCAATCTCTAGTTTACAGGCTTTTTTTCTTTTGTTTGTGTTGGGGGGAGGGGGGGGGGGGGGGGGGGGGGGGGGGTGTTGGTGGGGTAAAAAAATCTTGTCTCAAACTTCTGATTTACTCCTTTTATTTTGTAGAATTTAATTTATTATTGATGTTCAAATTGGCCCTCCAGATGGTTATTTGACTCTCATTAAGCTATCATTATTGTGTTAAAAGAATATTATGGCCATTCTTTCAAACAGTGAAATGGGCGAAAAGTGTAAACTATAACATTTGAATTTATAGAAATGTTCATTATCAGCAATAGTTCCTTACTGTCTATGATAATAATACGTGGCATAAGAATTGTGTCTTAAATGTTTAATAATGTAAAAAACTGAACTTGATATTCCCATTAAGAATACAAAGTTTGCAAAAAAAGCATTAACTGGTAATGGTGCTTCAACAAGAGGTGCTGAACTCGAGCCCAGGTAACATAGAATGGCTGGAAGTGCTAGACAATATGCTCAGTTAAACTGGGTAATTCCCACCAAGTATGTTCTCTTCGATTTGAGAAATCATTTACATGCTTGATGTCACAGAGCTCAAATTTCACACCAAAATTTTGCCGCTATGAAGCCAGCTCTCAACTTCCTCTGACTTAAACACCCTTGGTGCCTGACTGCCTGGAACACACACCAAGTCAAACTACCACTAAACGAACGTTAAGTAGGAACAAAAGGAAGCACGCACAACAATTACAAGAACCTTAGCTTTGTGAGTGGTTTTGTGAGTTGCCTACAAATAAGCTTGCTAGGGGTTGCAGCCATATAGAGAGTGCATTGTGAGCTTGCTGCAAACCTTGGCTGGATTTTCCTCGTAATATTTGTGCCACAGGACTTATCAAAAAATAAATAAAAATATTTGTGCCATAGGAAGGTTGGAAGCCAAAGGCTTCTATAAACATGCGCTTGTCCTTTGTGCAACCTTTTTGTGTGGGAGAATTGGCTGAGACTTGGTGGGACCAAGTGCCGTCACAGGGCGAAAAATTTGGGAACATTTTGACCCCATGGCACTTGACCACTTGAGTTTTTATCATTACACCAATCAATGGCCCCTTTATTGGGCAAAGGTTTTTTTTTGGTCCTATCATTTAATAAAGGAACTTAAATAACAACCAAAGTGAGGAAGAGTAATTTTGTTTTGATCCAATTATATTAAAGAAGCTTAGCGTCAGATTGTTGTCTTTTCCAAAATTAGTTGAAGCATGCTAATGTTGGATGGCATAACCAAAACAAGATAAAAAAGCTCTATATACTTGTGTCATAGGTCTCCACAAGAAGAAGCATGCTAACGGGGTTCTTACTATTATGTGCTCCTTCCTTCTCATTTTTTCTGCTCGTTATGATTACGTTCATGACTTTTTTTAATCTTAATATTAAACCAACCTGCCTGGTTACATTGTTTAATATAAAGTTCGAATCGAACTGAATAATAATAATAATAATAAATAAAGGCCAGCCCAGTGCACAAGGCGGCGGGGTCCAAGAGGGTTAGATGTACGTAGCCTTACCTCCACATGAAGAGGCTTTGAATCCTAATAATAACCCAAAGTTAAGAGAACTCGTGTTTAGATGTGAATTTACGGTACTAGTTGTTAAGTACTTTTATTTAATGCTATTTCTAAGTGTAGATGAACTCAATAAATCTGGGCGGGGCCACTGAGTCCTTTGTGCAAGTAATTGAAGCAAGTTTAGCTTGTTTACATGCTTAATGCCAAGTTGTAGATGTGGTGTATATATATTTATTTTATATACAAAATTGTAATTCTCTTGTTTGGACAAAAAGTTTTCTCATTTTTGACATGCCTGAACTTATAATAATAAAACAAATGATTTTTTTTTTTTTTTTTTAAGCCCAAATTGGATTACCAGCAAATATTTGAAGTTTGGTTGAACTTAGATGTGAATATATTGTACTAATTGTTAAGTACTTTTTAGTCAATGCTATTTCTAAGTGTAGATGAACTTAATAAATTGGGGTGGGGCCACTGAGTCTTTTGTGCAAGTAATTGAAGCAAGTTTAGCTTGTTTACATGCTTAATGTCAAATTGTGTGGATAGCTGTGGTATTTTTTATTTTTATTTTATTTTTCTTTTCCTTTTTATTTTATTTTACATATTCATATGTTCAAGTATGTTTAGTTTATATAGAAAATTGTAATTCTGTTGTTTGGACAAAAAGTTCTCTCATTTTTTGACATGCCTGAACTTATAATAGTAAAACAATTGATCTTTTTCACACAGTTATTTATTTATTTTGTTTTTGTGATGCATTTGCTTTAGCCCGCCCCCAGAAAAGGTCCTAGGTCCACCCTTGTTAATCAATAGTACTGTTATTGGGTTTCCAAGACATTGAGACTTGTCATATTACCAATCCATTTTTCTGGCCATATTACCCTATCCATTTTTTTTTTTATTTTTTATTATTTTTTTTTCTCTTTTCGGGGTGGCATAATCTATACGCGGGATAGTAAAACCCAAATTGGAGTACATTAGCAAATATTTGAAGTTTGATTGAACATAGATTTGAATTTATGGTACTAATTGTTAAGTACTTTTTAGTCAATGCTATTTCAAAGTGTAGATGAACATAATAAATTCGGGTGGGGGCCCTGAGTCCTTTGTGCAAGTAATTGAAGCAAGTTTAGTTTGTTTACATGCTTAATGTCAAATTGTGCGGATAGCCGTGGTAATTTTTTTTTTTCATTTTCATTTTTTTATTTTTTATATTCATATGTCCAAGTATGTTTAGTTTATATAGAAAATTGTAATTCTCTTGTTTGGACAAAAAGTTTTCTCATTTTTTGACATGCCTGAACTTATAATAATAAAACAATTGATCTCTTTCACACTTCCTTTTTTTTTTTTTTTTTGTTGATACATTTGCTTTAGCCCTCCTCCAGAAAAGGTCCTAGGTCCACCCTTGTTAGTCAATAGTACTATTATTGGGGGTATAATTTCCAATACATTGTGACATCTCATATTACCAATCCTTTTTTTATTTTTTATTTTTTGTGGGGGGTGGGGGGGAACTTAGATGGCGGGGGCACTGAGTCCTTTGTGCAAGTAATTGAAGCAAGTTTAGCTTGTTTACATGCTGAATGTCAAATTGAGCGGATCGCTGTGGTAATTTATTTTTATTTTTATATCTTCATATGTTCAAGTGTGTTTAGTTTATATGTAAAATTGTAATTAAGGATTGTACCTTTTCTTTTGCTCTAGATCAAACAGAGCAATTGAAGTCTCATTTGTATTAGGGATGGCTAACAAAAATAAAATAAAAGACAATACAATTAGGGAATCATTGGGATTCTCAAAATTTGAAGATACTTATTTCGGACCGAGCTGGATCTGGTGTATCATAAGGGATTTGGTTTGGACAAAAAAGTTTTCTCATTTTTTGACATGCCTGAACTTATAATAGTAAAAAAATTGATATTTTTCACACCTTTTTTTTTTTTTTTTTTTTTGTGATACATTTGCTTTAGCCCTCCCTTAGAAAAGGTCCTAGGCCCACCCTTGTTAATCAGTAGTACTATTATTGGGGGCATAATTTCCTATACATTGAGACATCTCATATCACCGATCCTTCCTCTGTCTCGTTTTTTTTTTTTTTGGGTGGGGGTTGGGTGGGTTTGAATAATCTATATATGGGATTGTAAAACCTAAATTGGAGTACACTAGCAAATTTTTGAAGTATGGTTGAACTTAGATCTGGGCTGGTGCAAGAATTGAATTGAGATCAAATTGATTCTGGAAAGTTTGACCTAGGAAACTGTAGGAGAAGTTGGTGGTTTTGATGCTTTTTATTTCTTTAATCTGAAATGTTAAATAAACAATTTGAAGTATTTGGTGAAAGTTAGCCAGATAATGAGAATCATGTTCTTGTGGGCATGTATTTGGAAGAAAGACTAGGTTCCTAATTTTGGTGTAGTCAAAGTTTTAAAAATAATATAAGTTGCCCATGAATTGAAGGATTGATGATAATGTTTTCGAGTCAAGTTGATTACTTGCTATATTGTTTGTTAATTGTAGCTGAAATCTACTAATGTTTATAGAATTGCATGAATTCAATAAAGTTCTTGCTTTGTAATATCCCCTCAAGGATTTCAGGGCGGTGCAAGTAATTTAAAGGCTCTCTAATATAGTAATTATACTGTGAGCGAACCCCTTTGTCTAAGGTTCGACTCCTCTTGGGTGCAAACAATTCCTTGGAGGGGGGTGTGTGAGTATCTACTAGGGAAAAAAAAAAAAAATTATAATGTGAGAAGATAGGGAATTATTATTTTTTTAATTCATTTTACATATATATGTTGTTTTGATTCTCTGTTTTAATATTAATGATCAATTCTTGTTTAGTCACTGGGGAAAATATGAAACTTAGTTACCTTGAGCTAGATATACAGATTTCATAGGACAGTTGCCCAATCCTTTAGAGAAAGCAATTTTTTAGTGATTGACCCAGTTTATTGATTTTTTTTTTTCCTAGTTGGTTCTCACACACATTTGTCTCTTTTAAGACTTGAACCCTTGATCTCTAAGAGGCTAATACCGCTAGGCCACTGGCCCGTTGGTCAGTTTATTGATTTAATGAACAATATTATTGAATTTCCAAATCTATGCTGCACGTCCACTTCTAAAGTGGACCATCTTCATGTCAGATACAATGTAGACACAATACAACTTGTTTTTTTTCTGAAAGAGGAAATTGGGGCAAAGTGTGGAGGGAAAAAATCCCCCCTTCTAGTAAGAATCGTCCACGTCATCATACTTCAAAGTTATCTTAGATGCAGCAAGGGCCCAATCGGTGTCAAACCCAAATTGGGAGAACCCAGCCCGGAACAAGCCCAAACAAAGTCTTGCTTCCATATAGACTGCTGACCCAGGCCATCCGGCCCACTTACTAAGCCCAAACGTCAACAGCCCGTGGCGCCAAGGGTGAATTCCAAGCCCATTTACCGAATCATCTGGATCAGCGGACATGCCTTGGATGTCCCCATAACTTAATAATAATAGTAATTCCTATCCAATTTTATTGGAGTCAACATGCTGAGTTGAAATCTGGGCAGATAGTGGGTTAGATGAGGGTTTGGCTTAGAGGAGGAGGAGGAGCATGGTATGTTCAACTTTGTTGATCTGTCTTCACTTCATTCCTATCCAATTTCTTAAGAATTTTCCGCATTAATTCCTATATCATATAATATTTTATGGCATGCATTCATGTCTTTGCAAGATAGTGAACATTAAATTTGCTTAACCCAAAATTGGTGATCTATAGACTGCTTTAATTTTAGACAAATCTATTTCTCTATCAAACTTGTTTAAACTGTTCTGTGAATTTGTTTTTCCTCTTCTGATGAACCCTTTGTCTCTACTCTTTCTGTCACTCCATCAGATTCAGCTTTCCACATCATCGCCCTTTTCATATCAGTACTTTAAATCCTCATATAATCTTAAACATTTTGTTTTTGATATTTCACATCCATCTCATTGATGAATTTAGATTATAATTTGTTGCTAAATGATGAAGGATTTATATATTTAAGTTACACTCTCTCTAACAGCTTAAGCTTTTGAAGTAGATGGTAGTTAACATGGCATCAGAGCCAAAGGTCTCGAGTTCAAACCTCACCGTCACCCTGAATAAAAAAATTGAAAAACACATGTTGGACCAAAAGAAGGCCACACGTGAGGGGGCGTGTTGAAGGATTTATATATTTAAGCTACACTCTCTCTAACAACTTAAGTTTTTGAAGTAGATGGTAGTTAACAGTCACTATTTGGTACGATGATGTTAATTTTGCATCTGTCGTTTATTATGCAGGCTCATGCCCGTTATCGGTCATTTTAATTTATTATGTGCCGGTCATAAATTAACACTGGAAATTTGCTAATGCATTCTTACATTCTTTAATTCAAATGGCATGGCCCTGCATACTACTTGTTTTGACTACAATATCTAGCGTCTCATTTGATGTACTTTGCCTCTTCTTCTTCTTTTTCAGCCCCTAAAGTGGGAGTTGAAACAAAAACCAGGAATGAGTCCTCCTCGTGGAGGATTCAAACCTGATGATCCCAACCAGCAAATAGTCGCTGAGGACATATTTGATGAGTATGGAGGTAAAAAGGCATCTTCATTTCTGGAAATTCTTGTTTCTCAAGTAACCTGGATAGATTTTCATTGTCATTCCTATCCAATTTGTAGGATTCCTTGGTGGGGAGAACATCCCAGAGTTGCTGACCAGCTTCACAAGTAAACCCAAGAAGAAAAAGTCCAGCAGTAAGAGTAAGCACAAAAGGCGGTCGTCACCAACTAGTACTAAATCAAAATATCATACAGATGATTGGTCGTCTTCTCCTGATGATGATGAGAAGAGGTCAAAGAAGAAGACGCACAAGAGAAAGAAGGGAAAACATTCTGAATCAAGTTCTTCAGATGACGATAGGCATCATAAAAGGAGCAGACACAGGCGTTCTTATTCATATAATAATTCGGACTCTGACAGCCAAAATCGAAGTAGACACCGTCGTCACCGTCGCCATCGCCGTCGCCGTCGCCAGAATCACTCTGAGTCTCCATCAGAATGAGATAAACTATCTTACCCTTTTTTCTTTTTCTTTTTGTATTTTTATTTTTATTTTTTAAGATTGCTCAAAATGAACAATTTTCCTTGTGTATGTCAACTATCAAAGTGAGCCATGGGTATGAAAATGCTAGAGAAACTTTGTTGAAAGCCTTGGCCTCGTGGGGTATTACTTATGTGTTAGGGGAGGCTCAGCATCACTGTTTAAGGATGAGGAATTTATTTCCTCCTTTGTACCTTGTCAAAGTTTGTAAACATACCAGTGTTCAAGATCACAGCTAGCTTCTTTGTAATTAATCCAGACCCCCAACTCACCACCTGCTTTGGCTCTATCTACAAGGTCTTACATATGTGATTTGTTTCTCTATAAGTAACAAATATATATATATATATATATATACTTTATTGTTAACCCTTGGACAATTTGACTCAGTAAACCACCAATCTAAGCTTCGAAAACCAAGCTCATCACCATCTCTGATCTTTATACTATTTTTGTCCCAATTTTTTCAGGAAACTTTCTATCTGAGTTTGTCATTCTTTTACAATCTTCTGACCAAAATTTTTGGTCATTTTAAGATATATCACCATCTTTTACAATCTTCTGGCCAAAAATTTTGAGGAAACTTTCTATCTGAGTTTGTCATTCTTTTACAATCTTCTGGTCAAAATTTTTGGTCATTTAAAAATATTTCTAACAATCTTGTCATTGACTACAATTTTTATACAAGACTGACTTTATCAAAGGGGTGGTGGTGGAGGGTACTTGTGCATTTTTGGCTTGGTAAGGTAACTGGGTTTGTGAAAATGCTTGTAGCATTTGGTTGGTTGAGTTAACTCGGGTTGAGTTTGTAAATAGAACTTGTAATTTAAGGCTCCGATTGTTTGGACGTAAAATATTTTTTAGAAAATATTTTTTTATTTTATAGTGTTTGGTTGTTGTAAAATATTTACGAAGAAAAAAAATATTAAAATTTAATAAAAATAACTTATTCATCAATTTTTGACAAATTATTTTACATGTTATGCCCGATGGACTCGACCTTATCGGGCACTCAACCTTGACGTTTGCCAAATACTGATAAAATAGAAATAAAAAATATTTTATCTAGAAAAAATATATATATATATATATATTTTTAAAAATATTTTACGTCGAATTCGAAACAAACGGAGTCTTATATAAAGTCTGTACGCTAATTTTCAAATTAGGTTGGTTGGATTGTCAACCACTTTTATTACTATTATATCAAAATCAAATTGTTTTGAATTTTTTTCTTTATTATCAAATTTTTGTTTATTATATAGTATTTGTATATGACAACAAATTTGCGATTGCCTTTCCACAGTCGTGTTTTTTATTGGTCACAATTCTTACAATTATACGTTCATTTATGAGATGTCTTCAGCCTTTATGAAAATTAAAAATATAAATTTTTAAGACAAAATTATCCTTTAGCCTTTTCTTATCTCTGTTCTTTTATTTTCCTCTCCTCAATTTTATTCCTTATATCAATAACATTCTAAATTGTCAAAAAAAAAAAAAAACAACGAATATATTATTTTCTTTCTCTTTGGATTGTCAAAACAAATAATATTATTGGAATGGATTATTTCTTTTTTTTCTTTTTTTATTATATTTTAACTATGCACTATATATGAATTTACGTTGAATTCCTTGATCAATTAACTACAGTCTGTACTTGATCAATTTGTTTTCCTTCTAGTACTCCCTGTTTGTTGATTCTGATTCGTATTGAGAATGAGTATAAATAATTTCTTTTTGTTGGTGCTAGTAATCTTGAACTAAACTTTTGTGTGGACTGTTGATATTGACTTGGGTTCTTTGAGTACATTCGTCGGGCAAACAAAAGATTTTTTTATTTTTTTTAATGCTGCAAAACAAAACTCGCTTTTTGTAAAATAATTATATATTTATTTTTTTATTTTACAAAAATTCATTAATTAGTATAAACTAGTTATATATTTTATTTCAAAATAATAAAATATATCTTAATATTATTATATTTAATATATTACGAGTAGGGTATTTTGGAAATCTAATAAAAAAATTATTCCATTCTGACTTTTTATTTAGCCTAATCAAATTGGAGAATGAGGATGGTCATTTCATTCATACATTATTCTTTATTTGCAGCCAAACACTCGGATAAGAATGATTATTCCATTAATGATCATTTCATTCTTGCATCATTTTCCTTCTAGCTTCATTTGCATTTCGTTCTTGTTTGTTCCTAATCACTTTCTATCACATCCATCACTTTATGTAAAAAAAATAATTATATCAAATACTCCCTCCGACTTAATTTAGTTATCCAATTTTTTTTTTTTTTTGGTTCCAAAATATTAGTCCACTCTAAGTCTTTTAAAAACTTTTTTTTACATCTTTTCATAAAATTCCTTTAAAATTTTAAAACTTAATTATATGTATATTGAAACTTGAAGGCCTTAATAATTTTCAAAGAAAACAATGCAATAATTACAAATTCTCTTAAAAAATTGTACTTGAGAAACATCAAATATGGAACAAAGGAATTACAAGTTAACAATCATTAAATATGTTTAAATTATGACGAGTGCTACTTGCTGTGTCGCGCTTCTTATTAGTCACAATTTCTATAATTACATGTTTATTTACGAAATGTACCCCATCTTTATAAAAATTAAAAATATAAAATTTTAAAACAAAATTACATTTTAACCTTTTCTTATCTTTCCTCAGTTTTATCTGATATACATATATACAAATAGTCACATGCACATACATATGTAGTGTGTGTGTGTATATATAACATTCTAGATTGCCAAAAAAAAAAAAAAAAGGGGGAAATATATTATTTTCTTTCTTTTTGGATTTGCCAAAACGTGTAACATTATGACAATTGATTATTTTATTTCTTTTTTTAAAAAAAATTATATTATAACTACACACACACACACACACATATATATATACATGCTCTAAAATGACATAAAAAAAACTTATACGTATATATATATCAAATATTCTCTAAGTTTAAAATCTATGTACTGCTGGTGTTAAATCACTTCAATTAATTTAAATAAAATTTGAAAATTGCACCATTTTGAGACAAAAAAAATTTACCAAAGTTTAAAAACTGCACCCTTTTGAATTAAGAAAAATTCACCATATTCTAACGAAGTTAAACGTTGTTATCTCTCCCTATCTTTTCCAAAAAAAAAAAAAAAAATCCTCCCTCTCTTTCCTCTCTATTCCTATTTGTTCTCTTTTAACACTACCGACGTTCTCTCTCATCTTTTCTATACACATGGCTTTTCAATATCCATTCTTATATATATATATATATATTATTTTTCAACCTTTACTTTTGTTGGTAAAAGTTGCATGTCTTGCAATCACATTTTCGTCTAATTCCATGGCAAAGTACATTCATTTTTGGCACGAAATATTTCCTTAATAGTGGGAATGAGCAAGAAAAGAGAGGGATGATCTTTTTTTGGAGAAGATGGGGAAGAGATAATGATGTTAAACTTTGTTAGAGTATGATAAATTTTCCTTAATTAAAAAATGTGCAGTTTTTAAACTTTGGTAAAATTTTCTTATCTTAAAAGAGTGCAGTTTTCAACCTATGACAACTTAAAGAATATTTAAGGATCCAAGTTTGTGTGGAGAGAGATATGTAGATTCTTAGACAGGGAGAGAGTTGGTCTTTTGAGTATTTCCTTTTAATTAATAATGGAAAGGGATGGAACAGAAAAAAGGAATTTTTGATGGAATGAGCTTTTCAAGGGAATGGGTTGGAATTCCCATTCCACTTTTAAAAGGATACACCAACTAAAAGAAAGAAAATTGCAACGTGAAATGATCATTTTATTTTATTCCATTTCTTTCCATTATTGTTTATTAAACTAGCTTGACTTTGTTTGGTTAAGTAGAAACAGTTAGAAAAGAAAGGAAAGATAAAATTTTTTAGAGTTGGGATATATAGAAAAAGAAAACTAGTGGAAAATTTACTTTCTTTTATTGAGTATTTTCCCTTTAAATTTGTCCTGCAAAACATACAAAACAACTTTTATTATGAGGTAAACTTTTATTCTGAGGTAAGTTCACAAGACAAATTATATAATTATATATATAGAATATCAAAGATAATTTGGGTAGAATTGCTTAAAATAGATCCCGCTTCTAAATAGAATTTTTTTTTTATTTTTTTTAATTGTATGTTCTATGTTGCAATTCTAACTACTCATAATTCGGTATATATATATATATATATATATATATATATATATATATATATTATAAAGTGAAATATTTGATTTTTCTCCCAAACAGTAGTATTACGGTTTTATCTCTTCATATATAATTTTTTATCTTTTTTTAATTTGTTTATCTTAAACTAATAATTAGTTTTACCTAAGAAAATATTATGAAGCCTTATTCTAAATATAAATAATAAAAATGAATATAAACAATTATATATTTGAATTTAATAATCTATCATTTTACTTCATAAGGTTAGTTTTGGAATGCATAATCACTTTCTTTTCACTTTCATATCATCCAAACTAACAAACTAATAATTTTCTTGAATAAATTTTCATAAATAAATTAAAAAAATAAAAAATTAGAAATGAAGAGACAATACTATGTTTGGGAGAAAAATCAAGTATTTCACCATATAATATATATATTTATACGAGATTATGAGTGATTAGAATTGCAACATGGAACAAACTATTTAAAAAAAAAAAAAATTTCTATTTAGAAGCGGGATCTATTTTGAACAATTTTACCTAAATTATTATTGATATTCTGTATATATAATTGTATAATTTGCCTTGCAAACTTACCTCAAAATATAAGTTGTTTTTAGAGAGAACTTACCTTAGATAGGATCTATTTTGAGCAATTTTACCTAAATTATTATTGATATTCTGTATATATATTTGTATAATTTGCCTTGCAAACTTACCTCAAAATAGAAATTGTTTTGGAGAGAACTTACCTTAGAATACAAGTTGTTTTAGGAAGAACTTTGCAAGATATACCAGGTAAAATAGGAACTGTAAATAAATAAGGGCTTCTTTCACATGAAAATTTCGGCGCGGGGAAAATTTTGAGGGAAAATACTCAACGAGGGAAACTAAATTTTCCATTAGGTTTCTCTTTCTATCTATCCAAACTCTAAAAAAATTAAAAAAATTAATCTTTCCATTCTTTCCTAGCTGTTTATATTTATTAAAAATAAAGAGGAATTAGATTGTCAAAAAAAAAAATAATAATAATTAGCTAAAATATTCTAATTCTATCCTGAGATTTTAAAAGCTCCCTTAGCTTCATCAAAAAGTTTTTATTTTTTATTAATCTACTCTTTAAAGCGATGATTATTATTATTATTACCAAACATGTCTAATGTAATATTTTTTAAAAAAATTAAAAGCGATTTTAAATGATTAAAAACTGTAAAACGGTCTTAGAATTTTGAAAATTATTTAGTATCAAAGATATCAATGGAATATCACTCATGCATACAAAGGAATATAAAAATGCATAAAAATGAAAGGAAAAATTATATAAAAAAAATGACATCTTTAATCCTTGTGTACATGGAAAAGAATTTCTCATCTTACTCGTAATGTAGGAAAGAAAATTATATATATATATATATATATATATATAGGGGTGATTTTATTTTTACTAAAAAGGAAAAGAAAGTGAACTAAAAAATATGCCATTTTGCACTTATTTTCTATAACAAATTAAAAACTACTTAATATATATATTTATATATATATATATAAATATATATATTAAGTAGTTATTAAGTAGTTTTTAATTTGTTATAGAAAATAAGTGCAAAATATGTATATAAATATATATATTAAGTAGTTTTTAATTTGTTATAGAAAATAAGTGCAAAATGGCATATTTTTTAGTTCACTTTCTTTTCCTTTTTAGTAAAAATAAAATCACCCCTGTATAGCGTAATAATATTAGCATTTCCCTCAATTCCTTCCTCTGTGAAGCAAATAGAAGATCTGTTCATGACCCGTACACCCGATTTTGAGTTGGATTTCACAACAATTATCTATTTCATATGTTCGGTCTAAATTGGACAATTATATACATTGTTTTATACACCTATATTTATGAGATAATAAAATAGTACAAAATTATATTTTTATTTTAAAAATTATAATTTATTCCAAACACATAAATGAAATTCTATTTTAGTAAGTCCAAAATACAAAGAATTTGGTTCCAAACAAACAAGGACACAAAAAAGCCCTAATTGTTCCCCACTCTCTCGCTCTATTTAAGTAGACACAAAAAGCCCTAATTGTTCCACCCACTCTCGGATACTCACTCTCTCTCTAGGTTTTTGTGTTGTGGTTTTACAGGCGGTGAGAGAAAGAAGCGAAGAGACATGACCTCAACAATGGTTTTCGCGAAGGGTTGCAGAACTCTCATGGCGGCCGCCAAAAGTTCCGCCACTTCCATCCCGAAGGACACTAAGCCAGTCGGCATACTGAAGCCTTTACCGGTATCGCCGGCTCTTGGGAAGTTCCTCGGCGGTGTCTCTGAATCTTCCCGCCCCCAGGCCGTCAAGAAGTTGTGGGCATATATCAAGGGCAACAACCTCCAGGTCTCTTCCTCTCTCTCTCTCTCTCTGAAACCTTTTGTACGTGTATATATGTGATTTTTAGTTGTTTATTGCGTAGTATTTCGCTCTTAGCGTTTTATTTGACTGTACTGTACTTCAACCTCAAAGTGTTCCTCCGCAAGGTTCGTCCACGGAGGGAGGTGAGTCAGGGTAATCGATGGTCGGAAGAGGCTAGGTTAGCCGACGTAACTCGCATATATGTGATATGATTCCATTTCACGATTTTTGTATGATTTTAGTTTTTTATTTTTTTATTTTTTATTTTTTTATTTTATTAAATCTGTATATTATATCTTTCTTAGCGATTTTTAGTTGTTATCTTGTACTGTTAGCATTTTATTTGACTGTACTGTTTATAATTTTGATTTCTACTGAGCTTCAAACGACTTTATGTATAGGTAGATGGATTGATAATAGCTTTATGTTTTTCTCTTTGCAAAACTGTTTTGACCTATTACATGTGTTTTTATTATTTTTTTTTTTCCTATTTCAATTCTCTGTTTAAATATTCAAATGAATGAACTTATAAAAAAATATTGAGTAAAAGAGAAGAGGAACATATATATATATATACACACACATTATCTATATACATGTGACATACTGACATGATTCAATTCCACACTCCATATGTGATTTTAGTGTTACCACGTCATGGGATAATGTTCTTGCTTCTAGGTAACTACTTTGTTTTGTGTAAATGACTTTATGCATAGTTTGATGTATTTAGAAATTAGTTTTGAGTTTTTTTCCTAATAATATTGTGTTTTAGCTATTGCATTGATATTATGTTTTGTTTCTTTGTCCTCTCTCTTTAATGGCCAATAAGAAAGCCAGCTACTAAACATAGCATGCGGCAACTATTCTTCTTATTTGTTTTTCACTTCAATATGTTGGTTTATTCTGACATTTGAATGCATCAAATTTTCTTGGTTTGTGTAGATAATATTGTTTCTTCTGTTAGATTATTGTTCAATTAGATTATTGTTCAATATGTGGCAACTGTTCCTTTTTCTTTTTCATTTCAATGAAAGTGTTGGTTTATTCTGACATTTGAATGCATCAGATTTTCTTGGTTTGTGTAGATGATATTGCTCCTTATGTTAGATTTTTGTTCCTGGGATTTTGAGCAAAAGGGTTATTGTTGGCATCCACCTCTCCTCCTCTTATATAGTTTGTTTATTTATTAATAATGCATTTGTAAGCCTATTAAGTCAATTAATAGAAGCTCATCCTCTCCTTAGAAGTTTATCATTTCCTACTGGTAAACAATTAAATCTAACCTTGTGAGACTGCATTTGTAAGTAGTGTCGTGTGGCATAGCCAATAGGCCCGAAAATAGATTGCATTTGGCTCGATCTGGTCCGGATCCATCACAAATTTTTTTAATTTTTATTAAGTTATTCCCTCGAAATGTGAGTGGAATCTCAATCTTGTGATGGAACCTATTTTTGTAGTAATATAATTAGAACATTTCTAAATGTTGGCCAACTATTTTCATTGAAACCCACTAAGAGAGCTCTTAATCCCCTAGCCCCACCAAATGAAAAAGAAAAAAAAAAAATTGAATGCTAGAGAATAGCCTTGATTGACCAATCGAAAAACAAAACCCCGGTGGCCCATAGATAAATGGGTTTCTTTTTCTTTTGTTTTTTTGTTTTTAGATTTCAATTGTGCATCTCTTACATTTTTGGAACTGAGGCTAAAAGCATTAACGCAGCTGTTAACTTTCACCATAATTTTTGCCAAATTTCTCTCTTCTTTCAAGCTAACAAGGAAACCTATTAACTAACCTCCATTGGCTCACATTTTTGATCTCTTTTAGTAGCCCTACTGTCTAGATTTCTGACTGAGCAATCCCCAAATATTTAGAATTGATAATATCAGGTATCTGTGTTATGCTGCTGTTGTGCTGGTTTGGTTTATATCTTTTATTCGATTTTCCGTTTTTATTGGTTGTTTTTAGAAATTGTTGTGGTATGGGTCTGATATACATAATTTGCTTTAGGTTGCTTCAATTAGTTCTTTTGATTTCTTAGTCCATTAGTAAATGGATACAAAAATGTAACATTTTGAGAATCGCATCACGGTGGCAAAATCCGTATGCTCATAATGTCGAGTGTTGATAATTTGTGCTGGTTTGGTTCCTGTCTTGTTCAATTTTCCATTGCTATTGATTGAAATAGTGTTATTTTTGTTCAATTTAGTCTTAAAATTCGCTCCATCTTTATGTCTTAAAGAGAAGTTGAACACACAGAGGTAAGTATTTGAATACTTCTGTTGTGAGACATCCTCTTTATCTTTACAATTGATGGAAACTCATTTAGCGGAGTCAAACTTCTGAAATTATAACTAAAACACTGATTTTATAAATTAGCAATTTGCTGCCAGGTCAAATGCCCTGTGAATGATTTTTGACTGCCTAATGATAAGTAGGTAGGAGTGGTGTGAAAACTTCCATAGCTGCCACTTTTGTGGTTAAAATTTATACTTTGTTTCACCTTTTTTTTGTTTTTCAAGTTGGTATTTTAATGATAATTGCAGTGGCATGACATAGCAATGTTGCTTTGCAGGACCCCGTAAACAAGAAAGACATCTGCTGTGATGCGAAATTGAAGGTCTTATTTGAGGGGAAAGAGAAGGTTACCTTTGGGGAGATCTCGAAATTGTTGTCGAAACATTTCATCAAATCTGGGTGATGCATTTGTTAGGCTAGGCTTTCTAAAAACTTGTATTCCTATCTTTAAACTATTATGGTGTCTTTGAACATAACCCCCGTCTGTTAGTTTTGGTGCATGGTTTAGATGTGCTTCAAAAATACTGAAGCCTCTCTCCCACTTTGTGGGACTTTTGTTTGTAATGGGAGCTCTCTTTGGTTTTCCCTGAACTTCTAAAATTATAAAATTAGTTTGAGTTTTGGATCAGTTTTAACTTTTGACGTTATGCATCTCCAGTTAGAGAGTTTATATACTGAGTGCTCTTCTATGAATCTATTTTCTGGGATGAACCCGGTGAAATTGTATGAACTTGAGGCAGAAGTATGTGAGGATTTTGATACTTGGCATACATTATTAACATATGCACTACGAAATGAAGATTCTATCTTTTCATTTTACGGTCTGGTACTTTTGTGACACGTTTGAGTTGATCAGATACCTTGGAGGGAAAAATAATGGGGGGATTAAACTTAAAAGAAATACTATTTGAGCTAAGGCCCTGGATTGTTGTTCCCTCCAAGTAGTTTCAAAATAGGAAAGTTTTAGACGTCTAACTATTAGAGTATTCAATGAAAGCCGACTGCCCGCAATTAAAAATTTAAAATCCAACATATCCGCTAAGGTCCCACGCTTGGTAAAGCCTATTCGTTTCTCCGTGGATTATTGGATTAAGGTTACTTTATAATATAAGGCAATAATTAATTACATTAACTTAAATTTAACTTTATGAACTAAATAAAATCTCTCTCTACCAAGGGCTATCTCTCAAAATGAATGGCAATGGTGGAGGTATCAAATGTATATATATATATATAAATTAATACTATGTCACATTCGTTTTGTTTTTTTTTTTTTTTTTTATTTTAAAATTGTCTCATCCATCATTTTCTTTCTTTCTCCATCTATTTCTTTAACGTAAAACTTTATGTTAATGCAATGCAAGTATATGATCGAGATTGATTAGAACCTGAAAGCATATTCAACTTTTGTAATATCTAAATTGTGAAGAAAATCATTTCCAATAGTTTTATTAATTTTAAAAGTAAAATCAAATCGTTTGTTTACCAAATCAAATCAGACGTAATTTCCCACTACTACACCTAATAAAGGTTAAATATTAAGGAGTAAATTTAAAAAATATAAAAATCATCCCCATGTCTGCGCACTTGTTCTTATGCATAGATAAAAATAAAAATAAAAATAAAAATAATAATTCTAAGTTTAAGTTTATGGTTGCTTGTACATGTCTTATGCATGTTAAGTTTAAGTTTATGCTTGAAATTAAATAAAGCACTTTATTATGATGGGCATCAGGTGATCCTTCATCCCGTTCGTTGACCATTTACAGTTTCGCGTCCAAAGCAGTTGGAGCTTCCTGTAATCTCTCTCTATATCTAATGCTGAATATGAAAAAATATATATTTATTTTCGATCCGTTCATTTTGACTAACTACTATTTCGCAGCCCAAGCAATTGGAGCTTAACCCCTCTCTCTCTCTCAAATCAATATAGAAAAAATGTGTATCTATATATATACATATATATTTAGGTTCCCTCCATCCATTTCCATTCTAACTACAAATTCGCGGCCGAAGCAGTTGGAGCTTCTCAAGGAGAAACGGTATGCTTCCCCTTCTCTTTCTTCTCAATATAGCAAAAATTTTTATATATAATTTCCCTCCATTTGTTTTGATAATTCACACTTTCGCAAGAGAAGCCATTGGAGCTTCTATCTCAAGAAAAAATTGTAAGCTTTCTGTTTATTGATTTATACACACACTTGTATTCTTTGTTGATCTGTCCTATAACCAAATTTCACCGCTCAAATGTGTATGAACAAATATAATCTTCTTACTGGTAACTATGATCATGCATTTGATTGAATTCTTAATTTCTAGAGCCTTTTTGATTTCTTTGTAAGGGAAGTACAGTCCGTTTGGTTGTTGGGGAAAGAAGATAAATGATGTGTTGGATTCTGCAATTAGTTGCTACTATTTTTGGTTTATGTGAATTGAAAAACTTAGCTCAATAAGCCCGAAACGATTCATTGGGTTTTAGTTGTAGATATTGGCTTTTTCGGGGGTTCCAAACGTTTATACACTTTTAATACCTTGATTTTCTATCTGTTTTTTGAACCCATGTATTCTTTGTAACCTTTTGTTTGAGCTTGGATAAGTGACATTCCCCTCATTCCCCCCTCCCCCGCGGTTATAGGCTATTTAATGATAAACTTCAAAGTTTCAAACTAATTTCTAGTTGCGCATTTCTTCCCTCGAAAAAGAGCATTTTGAGAGAGTTTCTCTTGGAAAGCCTTATAGCTCTTGGATTTCTGCCCGTTGCTCTAATGCTGTTGGTGCATCTGATCGATCTTCTTGATAGTGCTCATCACCAGTTCTTCCTTCTTAAGCTTAGCAGCAGGTGAGTCGGAGGTTTAGCATGAGCAGATGAGTAGGATTGGGACATGCTTTTGCCTCAGGAATATATATGATTTCCTAATGCTATGCTTGCCCTAGCCAAATGGGTTTGACTTTTGAATATGGTCTAATTGGTAGTATGCTGTCTATATTTGACAACAAAGGAGTGTGTATTTGACGGATTGATTACGATTATCTCATTTATATATTTTATGAATATATAGCTGTTTCAATTCTACAATGTCATATTCTTCTATGCTTTTGTTTGGTATGAAATATGAATGATGGAAAATTGGAATGATGGACAAGCAGGAGGGACGGAAGTAGTATACATTGGGAAAGGAAGGATATTTTCTTTTGTGTTGTTTGGTTGAGTGAGAAGAAAATGAGGAGGAAGGGAAGGGATGGGAAAGTCATTTATACGGTAAAAATAAAGCAATTTTGACAACAAGGCCAAAAATGGGGGGAATATCTTACCTCTTTTAGGCGGAAGTGAAAACTTTACAGAGGGAAGTTCCTCCGTCCTTCCTTTTCCTCTTTCGCTCTCCCATCTATCAAACAGGGGGTGCTCCTCCCTCATCCCATCCACCTTTCCACCCTTTCTACCCTCCATTCATTCCCACCAATCAAACATATTGTTTGAGACACACCCATGCCATCTTTGTTCTGCCACTTCCCTTTGTTGAGGGCCCAGAAACTTCCCCCCTTTTCTTTTAGAACTAAAAAACAATTGAAGAAAGAGAAGTTAGCCTTTGACATGAAGTGTTTTGTTTTTACTTGGTTTTATTGAAGAAAGGGTAAAAAGAAATACAATTTCTACATATGTCAATGTATTTTCTTTGTACTGAGTTTTAGAAAATACCATTTCTACTGTATACAAGATACTGAAATTCAACCCTAGACAAGTTTCTATCACTCCATGCACCCTGGACAGGAGTTGGAGTGGGGAACATTGGCTAAGTCATTGGCAAAAAAAATGGGGGAAAAAAAAAAGAGAGAGTGCAGAAGCATTGTACTCCAAGCACCTTTTCGTTTGGTCACCCATATTGGATCTTTTTCACTCTAATAATACAAATGGAAATTTGAGAGAATACATAAAAGTGATTTTTATTTATTTTTTTATTTTTATTTTTATCATAATATTTCTTTGGTGCATGTGCACAAGAAAACACAGATCCATATGCTTACACCAAAATATTTACTTTTAACATAGGAAAGTTGTATATGGCACATCTATAGATTCTACACTAGGATCAAGATGATTTATCTTGTTATGAATTATAATAAAGAGGAATGCGTTAGATATTGGTTTTGATCATTTCCAGGAGTCTGTTAATGGCTTTTTGATCAGTTGTCAGACAGTTTTAGGGTCCTGCTATGTAATATAAATGCCATAAACTCAGCATTGTCATCTGATTCACACCAAGCTCATGCACTATTGACGCGGGAAGCATGCATATTTTACCTTGAGCATGCTTGTCTGTGCTTGGCTGAAATGATTTAAGGTTCTGACTTAGCAGGACAAAAGAAGCTTGCCCCTACCCTCTGTCTGCTTTGATGTAAATTTGTTGGACAAATAGCAGTTTCATGATTGCTGGTGTCACTATTTACCTTATGCTATCCTAGTTGGTCAGATTGCAAGATGATGGTACAGGCACCATAAGGCATAATCTATGGTGATCTTTTATCTTGAAACATAGGTTTTCCTCAACAGGATAGGAAGGCATGAACAGGTAGGAAAGGAATGCCTCAAGAGAAGAAATAATTGCAAATTATACTGTTTTCTGGGGCCATCTTCTTGTCATTCGGTTTGACTAGAAAGTTGCTGTAGATTAAATTTGCATAAAGTGCAGCTTACCGGATGTGAATTATTACCGTCTAACAAGAGAGGGTTTAATTTTTCTATTGTGCTCAAGTTACTGAGCCGTCTGTATGTTTGTTTGCTTTTATTTTTTTATTTAATTAAATTAATTTAGGGGCCTTGTTCCCCTGTTAGATTCAAATCCATCCTGTCCAGCTATCAATTAAAGAAAAAGTAGGGGCTCCATTCCCTTTCCTTTTCTTGCATTGAATGGTAAGGTGACTGCTAGAGTAGACAATTTTTTAAAGATATATAATCACCAGGTTATTGGCCAAGGTGGTATAATCTCTCCTCCCAGAGGGGAGTGAGGGTTCGAGCCCCATAATGAGCATTTGTGGACCATGTGAGTATAACAACACATATATATAGATGTACAAAAATAAATAAAATAGAAGTAATTATTTTGGTTTTGGGTTGATCGGCGAATGGGGTTCACCTAAATATGGAGTTGTTCCATTTGTAATTTGGTTGAATATTTGTTTTCTAATCGAACTGATATGCTAAATGGGGTGGCCACAAATATATTTATTTGGGATGGGTTGTTGTTAGCATCAATATATTGTTTATTGTTTAATTTAATTTTGTCTCTTGATTTAATCAATCTGATGTATATTTTTGTCACCTATAATATGTCAACTGTCTGTCTGCTAGGTAGTAACAGTTTTGTATTGAAGACATGAGTGACAGAGGACATCACGGTCATGGTGGCGGAGGATATCCTCCCGGACAGCATCCTCCACCAGCTGAAGCATATCCTCCACATGGCCATCCGCCAGGTGATTACCCACCAACAGGACATCCTCCAGAAGGCTATCCCCCAGCTGGCTATCCTGGTGGTTCTGACCCAAATAATGCAGGTATATTTACCAAATTGTTTCATAATTGCAGTTATATGTGAAAACAGCTCTGCATGATTAGAAAAGCTGTTTTTGCCTCCAAATGCTTTCCATGTGATGCTTTCATGGAAATGTGAAAATCGAGAAACATATTTTCACAGCCAAGATACACCATGTCAGTGTGCTATGATACATTAATATGTACACCTTTTTTGGGATAAGAATGATTACGTAATTTTTGACAATAGCAAAGACGTGATTGAGTTGAAGAGCAAGTTCCAGTTTGTCTAGATCACCTTACATTTCTTCTAGGCTTTTTTTATCTCAGTAGACAGTGGCCATGAGTTTTGTAGATTCGTGGTGTTTAGTCGGCAGCTTTTGTGAATTGTGAACAAAGACATGAGTTTGGTTTTGACACAAGCATAGGGTTTCTGGAAGTGTTGATCAACTGTTTGAGGTCTAGACATGGAAATGTAGCTACATATTTCTGTATATGATTTGCTCTTACTGTGTGTATAAGCATGGAGAAAAAAAATAGAGGGTTAAACAGCAACAAAAATAACGATTATATTAGAAGTTTCTTTGCACCTTGACATGAATACCCTTCTGCACATTCTTCAAATGAATAAAAAGATAGAGACCTCTGCAAGTGCCAAAAAAATGCGTTTCATTTTAGTGAATATTGGTACACATGATTGTCTCTGTGCTGCAATTTTTGATATGGAGAAATATTGTCCTACACATTATAGGTCAAGTGTGGAGTGTTATACTGCCTTGATTATGTGAGGGATATTATGTTGCTAATTAGATTTTGATTGCTATGAATGCTGAGTCACCTGGACATTTATTTTTCAGATCGTGGCATTGGGACAATGCTAATGGGGGGTGCTGCAGCTGCAGCAGCTGCTTATGGTGTTCACCACGTTGCCAAAGGACATAAACACGGACATAAAGGACATAAACACGGACATGGGCATGGACATGGACATGGTTCTGCACCTGCTTATGCAGCTGCACCTGCTTATGCAGCTGCACCTGGACCTGGATATGGAGCAGCACCCGGATATGGAGCCGCACCTGGATATGGACATGGTGTTGCTCACTATGGACACGGTGCTGGCCATACACGTGGGCATGGGAAATTCAAGCACGGCAAGCATGGTGGCAAGTATGGGAAGCATGGACATGGAGGGAAGTTCAAGAAGTGGAAGTAATTTAGTGTTCCTCAACTGAATGCATTGACTACGGTTTCTGATTCTGGTTATATGAATAAGGTAATGGACAGGACTTCGATGGATGTTCATTACCACACTGTTGGCTTGATGTATCAAAATAAAGTTCCATTTGGGATGTTTTTCTTTTTTTCTTCTATGGTTTATATATTACATGAATCATTTAGGCCTCTTGAAATTGTATCCAAGATGTATAGTATTCATCAATATGTAAACAATAATTGTTGTTCAAAATAACTCTAGCTGGCATTTACCAAATAATTATTTTGGTTGCATGGTTGTATATTCATGGCTTTTTGAGGGAGAGGGCTTGGAGGAGTGCCATATCAATCAAAAATTATTATATGGTCCGGGATTACACGCAAGTAAATGCGTAACTTTATTCAGTTTTTTTATTTGCGTATTGAATTATGATTGTTTGGGACCAATGTAGCCCGAACCATGTAAAAAATTTTCCATATCAAGAAGCCTAATTGATATTTGTCATTACACATGCAAGTCCTATATATATATATATATATTTTTTTTTTTGTTTGTTTGTTAAATTATGCAAGTGTTAGAAAAATGAAACATCGCTTTTTCTTTCCTTTTTTTATTTTTTATTCTATCCCTACAATCCACAAGTTCAAATATGAATCAACAGGAAGTGCTTTTTCTCTGACAATTGAAAGAGAGTGAAGAAAGTCAAAAAACATCACAACCCTCTTAATTCTCTATGGTCTGGTGAATTGGAGTCTCAAGTGATTGTTATTAGACTATCAGTGATGCTCAATGTCAATTCCTGGGGAATCATGCTTATGCTTGATTAAAATGAAAGAAGTTCAAAAACTAGTTTATTTTTTGAAATTACTATTCATATTTTTTTATTTTTTTATATATATTTTTTTCTTTTCTCAGAAATTTTAAACTTTTTTTTTTTTAGAAAACTAAATCAAATATGTTTCAAATAACAAATGCTTTATGTGCCCTCTTAGAATCTGAATCTAAATATAGTATAATAACATAGTAGGTACCTATTACTATATTACCAACGAGCCAACCTAGTACTTCCCGATAGGAGGTCAGGGTTCAAATATCAACAGGGACAAGTGTGTGTGAGTACGAAAAATAAATAAATAAATAAATATATATATATATATATATATATTATATTTAAGTAGAGATAATTAGTATTGTTGAGGAAAACCTCCCTATTAAAAAAAATAAAAATAAAAAAAACAAAAACAAATGAACCCTTTTCATAATCAAAAGACTAAGAAAATATAAAATAAAATAAAGTGTAGTATAAATTATAAAATACGCTTGCCAAAAGATTAAAAATTTGTCTATTAACCATCAAACCATCCTCCCAAAATTAGGAAAAAAACATATATATATATATATATATATTATATTTAAGTAGAGATAATAAGTATTGTTGAGGAAAACCTCCCTATTAAAAATAAAAATAAAAAAAACATACGAACCCTTTTCATAATCAAGTGAGAGATGTGTCTTAATTCATCTCTAATCAAGACTAAGAAAATATAAAATAAAATAAAGTGTAGTATAAATTATAAAATAGTTTTGCCAAAAGATTAAAAATATTTCTATTAACCATAAACCATCCTCCCAAAATTAGAGTAAATTTTGTGTTTATATTGAAAATTGTTCCTAAGTTCATCTCTAATTAAGAGTCCTTATTGGACACGGAATAGCGCAAAAGAAAAATAAAAAAATAAAGTGTAGTATAAATATAATATACTTGCCAAAAAAAAATTACAGATATGTTTATTAACTATCAAACCATCCTCCAAAAATTAAGGTAAATTTGTGTTTAGATTGAAAATTGTTTCTAATTTGATATTGTAATTAAGAGTCCTTACTGGACAAGGAATAGCGCCAAAAGAAGGAAAAACATAGTAATAATAAAAAAAAGGTGAATAATTTGTGTTTATATTGAAAATTGTTTCTGACAGTGAATAATTTGCTGGCCTTACATGCGTACGCTCTTTCTTGGCTCTCAAGGTTTCGCTCTCTTCTTTTCATCACACGCGTTCAATATATATACTAGTCAATAAACGAGAGTACTTAATGTGTGATGTGCTATGAGGAGGCTTTAAAATTGGGAACCTATAAGATTTTCAATACCCATGACACGACACTTTGTTCCACTCCTTTCATTTGTACTCCAAGCGCGATTGCTATAATATATACTTCCTCGACCACTTCAGGACAGATCGATCTTAACCCAGGTAGGTTTTGTATATGTAATATATATGGCTTTCAACTTGATCAAACAGGCCAAATTCACACTCCTCATTACAGAGTCCACTGGAGGCAGAGGCAATTCATAATAAACGAAAAGATATAGCGTATATCCGATGATAGATCAAGTCTATGAGACGGACAGATTTTGACATGTAAATTTAGTGCGAAACCGCTTTATCCGCCCTTGTTGATGGATTTACTCTTTCTTCGTCCCTTTTAGGTTTTGCAGTCTTTGTAGAGGCCATCTAATCGCAATAATGCTCGTACTAGGGATGTTACACGAACGAAGGGGTCTGCATCGAAGAGTACCTACGCACTATGTTCCGGTTCACTGATAAGGAAGATAGAGTTGGGGTGGGGGTCTACGATGTGATACTCAAGTATGACCGGGGGAGAGACACCCTATCCATAATTGGTGCAGGAACCATTATGTAAATAACTTTTTATTTACATATTTTACATACAACAGATTACATATGAGAGTTGGGTCATTTGCAATTTTCTGTGAGATTATTCAATTGTAGTACTTTTAGTGCACATGCGAGGCTAGTTTCCTAAATTGGGCTTCAGGATATATATTTGTATTTGTAACTAAGGGCAGATTATTATTGTTAAGGAATGTGTCTAATCATGCGTCCTTCTACTTAAATTAGAAAAGGAAGGCAGATTGCAGTGCTCATTAGACTTGCTTTGTGCTATCGATGTATTGTTTCTTTGACCCATGGCTTCTATATACCTGCAGGTAAACTTTGTATTGAGGTCACTCCAGCATCTTAGATTTCTTTTATCTCTGAGGAGTTGTGCATTGGATGTGGTATTTGTGTTAAGGCATGTCAAATACAATAAGTCCATTTTTTGTGAATATTGTGTTGCCTACTAGCTATTAACAGGATGTTTAGGCTAATATTTGTTTAATATGCTGATGAAGAAATGCCCATTTGAAGCAATCCATATCATTAATTTGCCAAAAGACTTGGATAAAGATACAACCCATCGCTATGGCCCTAACACCTTCAAATTGCACAGGTTAATTTACAACTGCAGTTCCTATATAATGAGTGCTTCCAATTTTTTGTTGTTTGGATTTGAGGAAAATTTCAATTGCAGGTTACCAGTCCCAAGGCCCGGGCAAGTTCTTGGATTGGTTGGAACTAATGGTATTGGGAAGTCAACTGCCCTTAAAGTTTTGGCTGGAAAATTGAAACCTAATCTGGGCCGTTTCAATGTAATTCTCTTGGCTATCTTACTAATTTATTTATTATTATTATTATTTTATTTTTTAAAATCTATACATGTTTACCTTTTATTATCTTCGAATCCACCAGATTGGCAGGAAATCCTAACGTACTTCCGAGGGTCTGAACTGCAGTGTTATTTTACGCGTATCCTGGAGGATAATTTGAAGGTGCCTTCTGAATTGAGATTTCTAATGATGTTTGTTTAGCCTCTTTTACTTGTCAAGGTCCAATGGATTTTTTTTGTTAACTGAGTTTGTTTCAAGATTTTAAAGCATATGCTTAGCTTAAGTGGGCATTTCACTACCTTATCCCTTTATTTCTCTGTTTTATGGCGTAGAAATGTTTAAGGTATCGGCTGATTGTTGTACCACTTGTAATGTGTGGAATCAGTTGCATCTACTCTGGATCTGTAATTCATTATCTAAACATAGTAATAAGCTAAGTATTGAATCTGTTTTCTCATGGTTTAGAGATTCTTTATTGTTGTGCAAGTTTTGCACGTTGATACAGATACTGGAATACATTATAAATAATAGTGTGACTTGATCTAGCTGCATCCATGCACTGAAAAACTAATATAAAAATTGATAATCGTTTTTTTTTTTAAAAAAAAAAATTTGAAGATTAAAGAGAGCTGGTTTTTTTTTTTATACAAGTATAATGTAAACTGGTCTGTTAGAAGAAATCGAAAAAATATGAAGTTACGAAGGCTTTCACTTTTCACATGTTGGATGTTCAAATGTTATGAAGTGGACTAAAGGGTCGCTCTGGTGAGGTTTTTGTAATCTATTATCTAATTACATGTAAAAACTTACCAATTTAACTATGTCACTGACCTAATTTTCTGTCAGAAATATTCGTAGTTTCTATAGCTCTCCTTCTTTCTTTTTTCTCCCCCACATCGTAATTCTGATCGATTTGTATCAGTGTTCATCTAAGCTTCTTAACTTGCAACTGGTTCGCTGAGGCTAGGCCATAGTGTGTGGACTTTAGGCCTTCTAATGCACCTCCTTGTGATATAGTGGAATCTTCACCATTCTGGTTAAGAAAGGGAGGCAATCTGATTGTCACTCTTTTCCATGGCTGAATCATCCTGCTTTAAAATTTTCTTATACACGTGCATTGTGAATTCATAGACTTCTAAAGCTGTAAATGATAGAATTTTGAAGTGTGGAAAATATTCTAATCATTTTGTTCAATTAGAGTCCTGAAAAATTATGCACAAGTTACAATGAAGACTGGTCATTTTGTTCTAATCTTTGGCATTAATTGTTTCCTAAAATGTTGGTCATCTATATGTTCATGACATCAATCGCTATATTTTTCAAATCATATATTTACTTGTCCCATTAACGATGTATTTTATTGTTCAATAGGCACTTATCAAGCCCCAGTATGTTGGTAACATTCCGAAAGATGTAAGAGGCAATGTTGGGCAGGTGCTTCACCAAAATGATGAGAGAGGTATGAAGGCAGAGCTATGTCATGATCTTCAGGTCAACCAGGTTATTGACCGTAACGTAGGGGATTTGTCTGGTGGGGAGCTTCAGAGATTTGCTATTGCTGTCGTAGCAATCCAGAATGCCGAGATATATATGTTTGATGAACCTTCAAGTTATCTCGATGTCAAACTTAAAGCTGCTCAAGTTGTCCGATCGTTGCTCAGGACAAATAAATAGGTTTACTTCATAGCTATTTCATATTGTATTGAGTCTTTACGTATTTTGTTTACTTCTTTTGAAGCTTCAAAATTAACTGCTAGTGTTGTTGACACTTTCAGCTATGTAATTGTCGTGGAGCATGACCTTAGCGTCCTAGATTACTTATCTGATTTCATTTGCTGCCTCTATGGGAAGCCTGGCGCATATGGAGTTGTAACCCTTCCCTTTTCTGTCAGAGAAGGAATTAATATATTTTTGGCCGGATTTGTTCCCACAGAGAACCTGCGTTTTCGGGATGAATCTCTTACTTTTAAGGTAAAATTGTCAAATATATGGAGTGTCTTAACGCAGCTGTGGTACTATTTACTTCACTTTTGTTCTCCCCCAGGTTGCCGAGACTCCGGAGGAAAGCGCTGAGGAAATTGAAACATATGCACGATACAAATACCCAACAATGAGTAAAACTCTGGGTAATTTCAAGCTTCGTGTGATAGAGGGTGAATTTACTGATTCCCAGATTATTGTAATGCTCGGTGAGAATGGAACAGGGAAGACAACATTTATTCGCATGCTGGTATTATTTTTGTCACTCTGTTTTCTTTAAAATGAATTGTTGTTTTAGTTATTACATACCATGAAGGCCTGAGCTGTTTTACTGGTCAAAACTGCAGGCTGGTTTATTGAAGCCCGATACCGTTGAAGATTCTGATGTCGAGATTCCTGAGTTCAATGTTTCTTACAAGCCCCAAAAGATTTAAATCTTCAGTCAGGGACCTACTCCATCAAAAAATACGTGATTCATGTATGCACCCTCAGTTTGTGTCAGACGTCATGAAGCCTCTTCAAATTGAGCGATTAATGGATCAAGAAGTTGTAAATCTTTCTGGTGGGGAGTTGCAGAGAGTTGCATTGTGTCTGTGCCTTGGGAAGGTAAATATTTCTCGTTCTTGTGTAATTTTTGCTGTCGTTGTGGTGCATTTTTTGCTGTCAGTAGCATATGTTGTTGATTGCCGGGTTAACTGGACCAACTCTGGTTAGCAATAGTGACAGGTTGGGTATCTGGCAAACACCATCTGGGCCCCTCTTGACATGGTTCAAGTCCCATACCCTGACAGGTTCCCAATCCATGATGAAACTAATTTGACTAACCACGAGTCTCCCCAGAAATTTTTAACTAATCATGGAATTTGTTAAATCAAAATCCAAAATTTTGCTCAAACTAGTGAAAATAATTTACTAGAGATCAATGAATTTTTACATCAGCAAATTATATATAAATGCATGCACACAATATAAGGTGAGAAAGAATGATAGAAATAAGAGTTAAGAGATGGATCTATTGAAAGCCAAAGAAATTAAACAATATTTAATTCTTTTTTCTATTTAAAGGGAAAGTAGATAATTTGTCTCCTTTTATTTTCCTTTTCCTTTCTCTTTGAGAATATTATTCTGCTGTAGCTAAAGTACTTTGTCCTGCACTAGTTCATGGTTGATTTATCTGATATTGTACCGATAACATTTCTATGCAATCAGTGCCACATTGCATTGGTTTTTCGTTGGGCTTTGAACCGCAGTGGTGGTGCTGAACTGATTGTAGTCCAATTTGTAAATTAAGAATGCCGGAAAATTGGCTACTTGCCGGAAAATTGGCTACTTGTTTTCTTTTTCTTTTCTCTCTCTTTTTTTTTTTATGAATATTTTGGTAAGCTTCATCTTCCTACAGAGCTTTGTTGTCTTTGGGTAATGGGAAGAGGGTTAGGTAAGTCATGGTGCGGGAGATTGAAGCATTTTTGCATGGAACAAGTGCGTGGAAACTGATCCGTTAGTCCTATGATCTGCTCAAGTTTGGCATCCACATATAATTGTTTCCATGAGCTTTGGAACAGATATTCAATCTACTTAAAATAAAATAGAAGGGCTGAAAGTAGACATATGGCTAGATTTAGGAAAAAAAAATTATATTAAAAATTTAGATAAAGAATGGGATAGAAGATAATAAAAAAAAGAATGGTGGTAGGTTCATCAGGAGTTCAATTTCACTGGAAGCAAAATGATTATGCAATCTGTTTTCTGGAAAAAGCAATGCAGATTTTTAATATCATGGATCTGTTAAATATATCCTTAGCTGCAACAAAAAGGAAAGGTTAATGTCATTTTTAACGTTCATGTAAAGAGGGGGTTGAACTGTTGATAACCATGAAAAGGAGGGAGATTGGGACAATAGGTTGAGCTTTGTTTTGGGGGACTTCATTATTTTTTTGAATCTCAATGTTCTCCTCTTTTGTTTATTATCGATCGTGATCCCTGGTTAAAATTTCACCTTGTTCGCTCTAGTCTTTCTTTGTTAGCTGTTCAGAACCTGCAGCTGGTTTTGTATTCGAGGAGTCAAGATAGTGGGAGGCTTAAGGTTTTTTGATCAAAATGTCAATGGTCATATATTCACATAGAATGCCCAATTTGGTGGGCTTTACAAAGAAAACAAGTCCCTACAAAACTTATAAATCTTATTCAGGATATTAGTGAGACACAAAGACTAGAGTTCCTATAATATGCGGAGAGACTAGTGGTTTCTTTATAAAAGTAGGATTACACCAAGAGTCGGTATTAGGTCCACATTTATTTATAGTAGTTTTAGATGAAATAACGAAAAATATCCTAGAGGGCATTTCATGGTGCACGTTGTCTGTTTATGACATAGTTCTATTGGATACTTCTAAGTTCTAAGGAATCATTAACAGTAAAATTAGAAATACGGCGAAATGTCTTCAAAGGGAAAAGCCTAAAAATTAGTAGGCCACAGAACATATGGCATGTAAGTTTAATAAAGTAATAAAGGACGAAAATATAGCTGTCACAATCCGAGACCAATAGGTTTCTTAAAATAGTAATTGCTATATATAGGGTCAACTATACAACATGTCGGAGAGATAGATAATGATGTATGAGTAAGATTGGAGTAGAGTGGATAAAATGGAGACAAACTAGTGGTATTCTATGAAAAAAATGAATACCAAATAAGTTAAAAAGGAAAATCTATAGAAGGTTATTAGGCCAGCTAACTATATGGAGTATAATTTTGGACGTTTAGAGAGAGAGAGAGAGAGAACATTACATTCCTGTAGTTGAAATGAGAATGTTAAGATGGTTGGTAGGAGTGACTAGAATGGATTGGATTAATTACAAATGTGTGGGAGAATTTAGGAGTGTTAAGATTAGAGAAAGTAGTATGGTCATATCGATGGATGCTCCGGTAAGAAAAGGTAGATCTGTTTGTATAGAAAGTAAGAAACAAAGATGCTGACCAAAACTCATGTGGGATGAAGTTTTTAGAAGTCATATTAAAGAAATTAAATATAATAGGAGACATTGATTGTTTTAGAAAAAAATGGAAAAGACAAGGCTGACCAAATTTATATGAGACAGAGGCAAGGATGATGATGAGGAATCTATTTGTAGAGTATTAGATATGGAATCAGTCGGAAACCTATTGATTAGATATATTTCTCCAGCTCCGTTTAGTCCCTGGTTTTGAAAGCTTATGTCTATCGAACTTTGCTTTATGCTGTGTGGTCTTCTATATGGTTAACATTATAGGGCTTTAAAAGCTGCTCTTCCATTTTACCATAGTTTGGTATCTCTCAAAAGTAATCAAGAGAGTTGGGACCAATCCAAATGCTGTTGCTGGACACACTTGTGGACATTTTTGGAGTAGTTAATTTTCTGATTTTCTTAGGGGTTTGGTCTTTCAGTTTGGAGATGCTTGGCTTTGTTTTACATTTCCCTCCGGTTTCTGCCTTTTCTTCTTTATGCTTTGTTATATTTCTTGTACTTCTTTTTTTTTTTCAACGTAAATTGATTGGTTACAATATTGCATGTTTGGGTGTGTTCGCATGTCAAAGTATCTGGTCCAGTTACGATAACTGAAACAAGACATGATTGTTATTGATCGAAACAGTTGAAACTTTTGGTCTTGTGAATTGTTTAGTAAACATGGGTTTGGTTTTGTTGTCTTTATGGAGTTACTTTTTTTCTTTTTGTTTTTTGAGGGACTTGTTTGCAAGGCAAACCTTGAAGTTGAGTCAGAAGTTTTTGTAATCACAATCAAAACAAAAGATGTTTTCTTTCAGAAAGCACATCACTTGGACTATCACTGTAGTTAATATATGCTTGTAATCTAACTTGAAACCTGTTGGTTCGTGCAGCCTGCGGACATTTATCTGATAGATGAACCAAGTGCATATCTCGACTCTGAGCAGCGTATTGTTGCTTCAAAAGTCATTAAAAGATTTATCCTTCATGCGAAGAAGACTGCATTTGTGGTGGAGCGTGATTTCATAATGGCAACATATTTGGCAGATAGGGTCATTGTCTATGATGGGAGGCCCTCAATGGATTGTACGGCAAATGCGCCTCAGTCATTGTTGGCTGGAATGAATCTTTTCTTATCCGTAAGCCTTGCTAACTTTTTTCTTGTTTTTGTTGTTTGCCATCTGTCCTTCATTAGAAGGAAGGAAAGAAGGAATTAAGAAAACTTTAATGAATTTGATCTAAAACATTTCCACTTTTATCAGAACTTTTACTTGAGAGAATGTCCTTGCTCACTAGTCAATATTAGCTGATAGTCCTTTTCTTTCCGTTTTAAACTTGTTTGGGGAATATTCTTTCTTTCTGTTAGTAATCTTCTTTTGAATGCATTTTATGCAGCATCTGGACATCACATTTAGGCGGGACCCGACTAATTTTCGCCCGAGAATCAACAAACTGGATTCGACCAAGGATAGGGAGCAAAAATGTGCTGGATCGTATTATTACTTGGATGATTAATTTTGTTACAGGTTGTATTCATGCACTGGGACCTTCCAATTCATTCGAGTACTCTCTTCTTTTGGTAGCTGGTATTAATCCTCTTCTTTGAGTTGATTGGGGTGCTAAATATGGAGTTGGTCCATTTATAATTTGGTTGAATATTTGTTTTCTTTTCCAACTGATAGACTAAATGGGGTGGCCACAAATATATTTATTTGGGAAGCGTTGTTCTTAGAATCAATATATTGTTTATTGTTTGATTTTATTTTGTCTCTTGATTTAATCAATCTGATGTATGTTTTTGTCTCCTATAATGCTTAACTGTCTGTCTGCTAGGTACCAACGGTTTTGTGTTGAAGACATGGGTGACAGAGGGCATCATCACTCGCATCATGGTCATAGTGGCGCCGGATATCCTCCAAGACAGCACCCTAGCTCCACCAGCTGAAGCATATTTTCCACACGGTAATACGCCACATACCGACAGAACATCCTCCAGCAGGCAGGTCATCCCCCAGCTGGCTATCCTGGTCCCTCTGATCTAAATTGTTTCATAATTGCAATTATATGTGAAAACATCTCTCTGCATTACTAGCCAAACTGTTTTACCCTCTAAATGCTTTTGATGTGATGTTTTCATGGAAATATGAAAACTGAGAAACATATTTTCACAACCAAGATACACCATGTCAGTGTGATATGATACATAATGCACACCTTGTTTGGGTTAAGAATGATTACGTAATTTTTGACAACAGTTGGTATTGAGTTTACAATTTAATGCTTATAGGCTACATCACATTTCATATCTTCTAGGCGTTTTGATCTCCGTAGCCTTGAGTTTTATAGACTGTTTAGTTCCATGAGTTTAATTGTTTGGGTTTCTGGATGTGTCAACCATTCTAGACATGGAAATGTAGTTACATATTTGACACGTTTGTTTAACTGTCGTTTATAGAGGGTTTAACAGCAACAAATATAACGATTATATTATAAGTTTCTTTGCACTGAGAGAGACATGAATTACATATTCTTCAAATCAATAAAGATGGAAAACTCTGCAAGTGCCAAAAACAATGCCTTTTCATTTTAGTGAACATTGGTACACAATTATCTATGAGCTGTAATCAGACTTTTATTGCTAAGAGTTTTGAGTCACTGAACATTTGTTTTTCAGATTGTGGAATTGGGACAATGCTAATTGGGGGTGCTGCAGCTGCTTATGGTGTTCACCACATTGCAATACGACATATACCCGACACGTGCTAGCTATTCACACACTACGGAATGCATTGACTACGGGTTAAACTAAATCCCAAAGTTTTTGTTTTTCCTTTCCAAGAGAATCATGATTGTTTCTAACCCAACCTCCATTTTATATTGAAAAAACTACTAAATTTATTTAAAGAATGTACTATATCAAGTGTTAAACAATTTTTATATTGTCAAAAATTATGAATATGTATCCATTTGGCTCTTCTGAGTTCTTTATGTTTTATATATTTTTTAAAAAATTCTGCATACTCGTTTAATTTTTATATTCTATATTTAAATTTGTGTTCTTCAGTGGTCTGATGATATATGTGTGTGATTGTGTGTATGTGTGTGACTAGTGTGGCCATGGTGATGGTGATTGTGGTGGTTGAATGAGACCATTTTTGTTGTGCAAAAGGGCAAGACGAGAATCATATTAAACTTTTTTTTTTATTTTTTACCTGCCAATGAAGTTGGCGATGCTGGTTGGTGGAGATGGAGAGAGTGGTGAGGAGAAGATTGGGTAGTTTTGGTCGAGTAATGGGTATTTTGGTAATTAACATGGGTCCTATAGGGTAGTTAAGTCATCTTATACATGAGTCAATCCTTTTATAAGTAAAATTAAAGTAAAAAGGGTAATAATGTTATTTTACATGAAAAAAAAAATGTTCTAAAGTTAATTTTTTACATGAAAAAAGTGCTCTAAACTAACTTCTTAGGGTGTAAGTGAAAAACGAACCAAAAGTTTATAATGTGAGTAATAGTAATTTTCGAAAGATGTTTCAATATGATATTTGGCCAAACTTAAAGAATGTGTCAATGAAATTAATTCAAAATTTTAAATAGGGAAAAAAAAATGATTTAGGTTTAACCAATAAGAAATTGAATAATAACAATTATTAAAAAACTTAACAATTTGAACATGTGTTTAAATTCTATTAGGCCAAATTTGGGACTCGAAAGGACCCAAACATTATCCTCTATATTTACATGAATCATTTAGACCTCTCGAAAAGTCAATGCATTAAAAATGTTTCTACAGTGATTAATTATTTATATTTGACTTTCTCTCAATATTTAAAGTGTTATCCCTATTTTGATGTTTCAAATTAGCAATTTTCACTTTTTTTTTTTACTGATTATTTCCTGGATTTGGCATTAGAATGCAAATGAAATTCATGGTACAAAGCCTAATTAAGTGCAAAATTTTAACATCAACAAATCTTCTTACCAAAATATTATGACATTTTTTTTTTTCCCAAATATTATGACATTAATGAGAAAAATGTTCCAGTGACAAGAATCAATGCAATAAGGAATCTAGCAAAATCCAATTTATTAGAAAAATGACATGCTCTACTCGTGCACATTTAAACACACTTGGAGTCCATTTGAAATTACTTTTCAACTGTTTAAAAGTGTTTTTAAATTAAAAAATTATGTTTAGGGAGTAACTATTAAAATTGCTTTTAATAATTACCAATTTTAGATATTAAAACTTTTGAATAAAGTTTAATTTAAAACTGCTTTCTACTCCTTGTATATTTAGATTAATAATTTTTTCTTAGACAATTTTATCATTTATTATTTTTTATAAAGACAATATCAGCCCTTCTTTTATAAAGTTACTATTTTCAAATATAGTAACATTATATAAAGGATATTATTGTAAAATTAGTAATTTAAATGTTTTAAAAAATATTGTTACCAAATCAATTTAAAAATAATTTAATTATAAAAAGTACTTATTATAATATATTACCAAACAACTTGCATGTTTTTTCTCAAGCGCAATTTTTTGATAGCTGTGTTGATAAAAACGTTTCTTTATTCTAACTATTAAATTTACCAAAACCTATAATTGATACAAGTTAAAAGAAAAAAAAAATCCACAAAATCTTGATTTCAATGGACCTATACCTACTTTTAACACCAATACACTGAAAACTACAAAAAATCAAATTTATTCCAAAATTCTACACACTTAAATCAAAATTCAATAGTTTTACCAAGTAAGTTAAGAGTGTTGAAATTCACATTAACTTTGTTGAAAGAATTATAACTTGAATCAATTTAACATTGTAGTAGGTGTAAGAATGTTGACAATCAGATCCAATGTGTTGAAGATAGATATAACTACATTAAAATTTACGAGTCCTTGAGGATGTAAGTAAGGCTACGCCACCTAGTCAAAATCTAGTTGGCCACCACGACATCAATACTCTAAAGCAGGAAGGACAAAGTCACAATAAATTCAAAGGTTAGGGCGAGGGGTATAGCGTCACAATAAATTCAAAGGTTGGGGCGAGGAGTATAGCGACCCAACCGCGAATCACCGATTGAAGGACCTAGAACCTAGATTTGACCAAGGCATGAATCCTCCATCGAAGGACCCAGAACCTAGATCCGACCAAGGCATGAATTGTCTATCGAAGGACCCAGAACCTAGATCCGACCTAAGCACGTGTCGTCGATCGACGGGCCTAGAACCTCGATCCGACCCGACCACGTATCGTTGATCGACAGACCTAGAACCTCGATTTGACCCGGCCACGTATCGTCGATCGACGGGCCTAGAACTTCGATCTAACACGACCACGTATCGTCGATCGACGGGCTTAGACCTCGATCCGACTCGACTACGTATCGTTGATCAACGGCTCTAGAACCTTGATCCGACCCAATCATGAATCAACGGGCCTTAAATTGTCTGACTTAACCAGAACGAAGAGTAAATGGTAGGACTTACTTTGTTATTAAGAGAATATAGAAGAGACTTTGGAATGAAGGATAGAAACCAAAACTCGAATTGAGGAACAGAGTGAGAGATAGCCGGAGTGAGTATTGTTATTGTTAGGCCTGATCCTACCTGGGTCATTTAAGGGGAACGTTACACTTATTAAGTGGGTCCTGAAGAATAGGAATTAGGGCAGCGTGATCTTAACGGTTATGCGAGCCCTACCTTATTTAAAAGGAGGCCCAATAAGTGCTAATAAATCCCTCTTTAGTGACCTTAGTGTCACGCCCCGCCTATGGAGGTTGTGCCACGCAGGCGACACGCAGACGCTGAGGAGGACGCTGCATGGCAACTGCATGGCAAGTGGAGTTTCTAGAGTCTTCCAGAGTAGTCTAGAGTTGTGTGGAAGATTCTAGATATGTGTAGTATATTCTAGAAGTGTGTGGAAGGTTCTAGAATTCTCCAGAATTGTGTGGAGTAGTATGGAGGGTTCTAGAATGTTGTAGATATGTATGGAGATGTGTAGAATGTGGAAGAAGATTCTAGAGAATCAATCTCCACCA